AGATATCTGATATCTGTAACTGCATTGTTTTATGGCTTGTCAAAAACTGAAAGACCAGAGGCCAAGAAACATCTGGGAGATGTGAGACTAGTTTAGCAAATCTGTGTCACTTCCAAACCTTCAGTCTGGTTTGGGAAGAAGGGAGACTTTGATCCATTTTTAATTCCAGCCTGTTGTTTCAGGACAGGGGAGATAGGAAAGTGGTATTAATCTATCTTTACCACTTTTATTTCACACTAAGTGCAGCTTGGTTGCTCCCCATGTAAATAGAGCTAGTTAAATTGTGCTGTCTTGTGATCAGAGGGTGCACTTCCTTAGACCTAAGTAAGCTGTTCCCTACTTCTTGCCGTAAAAAAATATTTTTGTATAGCACTTGCTGGATTTACATTAATATGGGAGAAATATGAGAAAGATGCTAACTGTCAAGAGAGTGAGATATGACATTTAATGTATGTTTTTTAAGGTTCAGAAAAACTATTTAGATGTCCAGCTTTATAATGACTGGAACTGGGACTTCATGCAGGTGATCTAAGTACTGTATCTGATCCTTATTGAATCAGTAGGAGACTACAGTTTTATACAATTTAAAATTTTTTTCTCTCAGTTTTTCAGAACTTTAAGAATAGTTAGTTGTTTGCCTAAAGTTTATCATTCTTTTTTGCCCACAGGAATATGGGCTGAGTAGCATGTGACTATGCACTGAAAATAACATCCAGGATCTGTGTGCTATGGTATTTCCCTGTGTTTAGACTCTTTAGGCTTGCTGATTTCTTTTAGTTTTGAAGATAATTTATTTTCTTTGATATCTTTTTGAGGCATGAATATTTTATCATTTACATAAGGAATTTTTAAAGAATCTTAGGACTTCCCTGTTAGATTGGACGGAATAAATTTCACTTTGAAATCAGTACTGCCCTGTAATCCTGGAACTTAATTAAATAGATATTAAAGAAATCCAGTTAGCAAATCTCTAAGAGAGAACAAGAGCAGGCTGGAATTTTCAAAGCCGTTTATTTAAGAAGACTATGTGCCAATGGGAACTGAGCGTCTAATTCCCTTGGGTTGCTCTGAAAATCCCAGCATTGCTGATCCTACTTGTCTGCCCTTCCACTTTTCCTCCTACTGATCAAATATTGACTAAATTCTTTGTGAAAGTTGGAGGTAAACGATTCTGTGATACTTGTGGGTTAATAGAAAGTGATTCTAAAATCCAAAGCTTTCCAATATTTGAAGAGATCTGATGAGGAGAAAACAGGTATCTCAGCTTTCAGCTGGTTCTTACTAATGATCTATCTCGTATTTAAATCAAAATAAAGGTTCTACATTTGTAAACTACTTGTTTTCTTAGTTTAGTTTAAACTTTCTTGTATAGGAAGTGCTGAACCACAAAACTGAAGTTATTGGAAAGCAAGGTGTTGTTTAATATCTGTGCTTTCTCTTTCCAGTCCTGTTATTTTTCATGTTGATCCTTAGTGAGATTTGTCTAACGTATTCTCTGTACTTGGTTACGGACAAATTAAATGAAGTTCAGAATATTCTCCTTCAGGTAGGATGAGCTAAAAACGATCAGAATATTACTGTTTTTAGACCATAACCGTGTTATGTGTTGACTTTGTCAGCAATGCTAGTTCAATCAAGAAGTTCCCATGCTTTTCCCTACCTTGTCACTGGTTCCTGGCCCTATGCCGTGGTTGGTCACGTCATTGCTTGCCTAACCTGTTAGCAGCTCAGTGAGCTGGAGGCTTGGAGCTTGCAAGCTATCAGCAGGACTCAAATTCTCCCTCAGCCTCTCAGGCAACGTTGGGCTGTACTGGGAGCCGGGGGTTCACAAGGTCCTCGCGAGTTTCGAAGTAAGTTATCCCAGGTTGTCCCTGCGTAGCTTCCTCTCGTTGGAGAGGCTTTCTCAGCCCAAAGGCTTCCTCTGTCCTCATCAGGCTTGGAGGAGCTGGGAGTCCTGAAAGTCCTGGCTGCTGTAAACTATGATAGAGATAATAGCTGATTATAATAGGTATCTTTGTGATGAAATGACTAAACTGCTGTCGAATAGCTTTATATGCGTCAGTGGGAGTGTTTTGTCAAACAAACTTAAGCATCTATGTATATATTTATTATATATTAGAGCAAAGTTTTGTTGAAGTATTTATGTTCCTGGGGAGGAAATTAAAGGTCCTGTAAACTAGACTGCTGAATGTTTAGGTTTAGGATTAAAATCTGTTTCAAGGCTCCTGCTTCCTCCTCAAAATAGACAGGAAAATGCTTTCGTATATGAATGAGGTTACTAAACATTTACTTCAGTAATCCATACGTAGATGTTATAGGTTCTTAGATGCAGGACGGTGTAAATATACAAAACATTTTTCTGTCATGCAAATTAAGCAGTCATATCAGTGCTCCTACTTGAAGGATATTTTCTTACAGAAAGTGTCACTGTACATTTTGGAAGTACAAGCACATTGAATCATTTAAATTGTGAATTATAATACAATATATTTTGTATTTCTACTGCTGATTATAACCCTATTTATAGGTTTCTATGAATCATTAAGAAAGTTATAAGCAAAAGCTGCAATTTCTTTCATGTTTTCCTTGTCTTACAGCACAGAATAAAAATAGACAGTTTGTGAACTCTCAGCAACCCTGTACCTGATAATGAATGTAATTGTATGCTTAAATAGCCCTAAATTTTTTTCTATCTGATCTGCGTTCTCACCCATTCTAGACTAGAAAATATTCTGATGCTAACAATACAAAATAATTTAAGTAGTCTGTTTCACGATAAATGGTTCAGTGAGAAAGATTGTGTTGAAATGATACCAGTTTAATGAAAGGCTAAAAAAATGAGAATAGTAATTAAAATCTGTCAAACTTATTAATTACAATCATATCTTTTTATAGCAGACTTGTTCAGCACAGAATTAATTCTTGCCTACTGTAGAGAATAATGTACTTGGTGCAGTTTTCTGTACTTTTTTTAAAAATAAAAGGTAGTAAATTAATTGTAATATAAGCAGATCTTACTAGAGAGATTCGAGTAAAAATGCATGCTACTAAAAGATGACATACTGATTATTAAAATATAGGAAAATTATTGATATATCAGAATTTTATCATAAACAGACACAATGTTATAAATGGATTAAGAGATATTTATCATCATGTACTGAAACATCCTATTATTTCTTAGAATTTTGAAATTCTGTCTTCTTCCTAGACCTTGTATGTACCCTAAGCGAAAAATAATTGATTGCAATAATTTTTTTTCCTGAGTAGGCTGAGATCTCACTAAGGGTCTAATATAACAATGTGTTTTGCACAGTCATGCAGACTCTACTGTCCATAAAGTTAGTACACTTCTGGAATTTCAAAATGGAGAAAAACTCATTTTTATTTGGTTTTTGGTGGGAGCTTGTGCTTAGTGGGTGCTTGTTTTTGATAGTTGGTTTCACTGAGTAATTGCGATTTGTTTTTACTCTGAGGTTTTTAATTCTGGGTATATCATTTTAAGCACAATGTTTTTCATTTACTATTGCAGATCAACTCCAAAGTTGTTTCTCTGTCCTCTTTAGCAGTGTTAGTTCTTTGTAGTGTGCTTGCTTAACCTAAAGCTGTTTGTTTTAAATTAATTCCTAGTTTTGATGATATAAGACTGGTCTTTTTATGTAACACAGAATACACAGTAACTCAAGTCAATGTAAATTTATGTTGCAATTGCATGAAGAAGTTTTGCAGGTGCAAAATCTTTTCAGCTCTATAAGGTGAAAGGAGTTCCCTAAGAATTAGGCCATCAACCATTAGTTACCAGTCACTAGAAAGAGTACCACATATGGATGTCTCAGTCATTAACTACACGGAGTCTTGTGCCCTAATACCAGTCTTTCCTGTTATTGAGCAGATGATGCTGTAGTAATTTAGGGAAAAGCTAAGCATACCAAAGCTGTTTTAAAGAACAAACTTTAAATTGTACCGAAGCATAATTTAGTGGACGTTTTGTGTAAGAGGAAGCACTTATATTTATGCTCTCACTTCTGTAGACTCTGAAAACACTGATGATCATAGCAATGATTTAGAAATATCTGTGTGTCAATAACCTGACAGTATGCAAGACAGACACTGATTATTCAATGTGAAATACTTTTGCATTAATTTCTTCAACTTGCCCTACACAATTCTTTTCTAAAAATTGTGTCATGAAATACCATTTGTTATTGCAAGAATTTGTGTTATAATCTAGCATGGAAGCGGTTAGAAAAATTATCTTTTTATTCCATGTTCAAGTACAGAGATTTAGTATTAATTTGTTTTGTGATGTTTATATTCTTAACAAAACAAGCAGTGCTCTTTTCCAGAATTACCGTCTTTAACCTGACCTTGTTTTCTCCAAGACAAAGTAGATTCATGCAAGCTATACATAGTCTTTAATGCAAGTTTTGCATGAGCAAAAATATCAAATTTATTGCCTTGGTTCACATAGGGTCATGCAGTATACTTCTGTTTGCACTGCGAAATGCAAATGAATGATGCTTCATTTGAGTACTTTGAACTCTGGGGGAGACACAAGAAGACTGAACAGCTTCCCACGCAATCTTAGTGTTGCTGTAAAGCATTCGAATAAAGGACTCAAACCACAAAGTGGAAAATGTTAATTAATTGTTATAGTATTTTTGTGGTTAGATTTGTAAATAAAAAAATATACAGTTGATTTAGTTGGTAACGTTTAAAACTTTTAAGTGTTGGGATGGTAAGTATTGCCTGTGGCAAAGATACTAAACTTATTTAGAGAATAACGTGGTTGTGTTTATAAGATCTTGGAGTAATCTCAAGACACCTCCCCCAGCTGCCCCAGCAGCTGACTGGTTCCTAGTTCATTTATATTTGCTTTAAAATGAAATATGCATACGGGTTCACTCTTAGCATCACATAAACTTGATTCATACATTTAAGCAATTGTTCACTTACATATATTTGTAGATATTTGTATAACACAAATTATATTTTTTCAGGGTTTTCCAGGACCTGGACAATACGAAATAGAAAGTCAGTTTCAGAAGAGCAAAAATACAGTACAGAAGGGGAAAAAGATTCTATATGCTCCTTTTCTTTCACAGTCCAAAGTAAGCCCCTGTACTTTTTTTTTCCTCTTAATGTATTATAATAACATGAATAGTAAAGCAATAAGGTAGCTGATAAGAAATAATAGTTGTAAGGTGTTCTATGACTGCTTAATTAATTGTTACTGTGTGTGTTTCTGCATTGCTTGGACTAATTGTTGATGAATGCAATGTTGATGAATACACCCCAGACAAGCAGTTTTATGGAGCCAAATATGTGTTTATAGAAGTGAGAGAGTGTGTTTGTGTAAAATGTGTATAGACTTGAAAGCTCTCAGGTAAACGAGAGAACTGAGTCTCACTTTATTCGATATGCAATCCATGGAGTAGGGTTTGCAGGCAAATCAGTGGTTATAGATTTCATTCAAGTAATGCTTAGGTGCATGCTCTGAAAGGATAATGGTGGAAATAAGTGAAATATTTGGTCAGATGTGTAAACCGGTGCAACATATAGAGTATGTACACTTATAATGGGCACTGTCAGGTCTTCAAGGAAGATTTTCACTGAACCATAGGTCAGGTATTGGATTCTGTCACGTCTGAGATGTTTATTCCCTTTCTGAAGCGCAAGAATTTTAAAAGTAGTTTTAGTATTTTTATAATATGCGTATGTCACTAAGCTAAATAATGACTTTCAGCTGTTAGTGATCCAAGGTGACATTTTCATGATTCTATGACCAAATGTGAAAAATGATTTTAACAGGAAGTAATCAAAAAAAATGAAGCTGATAATAGGCATTACACCCTAGTATAGTCTTCAGACAAATCTTTCCTTTGCATCTCTCCTTCCGTTACTGCTCCAAAAGCCTCTCTTTCTCCCACCTGTATTTGTTGTCTTAGGAAGCATTGGGGACAAAAACTAATTCTGTGTCTATCAATTAGATTATTTTTGTATTTTTTCAATCTTATTCGCCAATAATGTATTCTGAAATTACAGTTGAATAAGCTTTTTTCTAGTTCTTGAACGCTTTCAGGAAGTTTTTCTTCAGTAAGTTACTGATTTGGTTTATAAAGGCAGTTTCTTCTTTTCTCACAATTTATAATCATCTAAAATCTGCTGTATGATTTTTACTTTCATTTTAATTTTCGAATTCCTAAATAATCCGTATGTCTTAGTTGTGTAAGAACCAGCCTTTTAAGTAGGTTATAGCTTCTAACTTTTAGTAAATGATTTTTTTCCTCCGTTTTATACTTCAGAAGCTTTTTTTTCCTCTGAAAATATTTTCTGAATTTTTTTCATGACGAAAAAAATGCCAGGTTGAATATTCAAATGAAACCGTTTAAAAACAAATGTCTAAGTTGCTTTACCTGTTTTGTCAGTGATGGTGAACACAAATGAGTGCAAATAAACTCATGGTTTGCACTAGTGACTGGAAAGTTATTTCGTTGAGAGATAGTAGTCTTTAAGTCATGTATTTTGAATAAGATTTTAAAGGCCATATGAATTGGCAGTCCATTGCCTTTCCGTGTGACTTGTCTATTGTTTGGACTATAGTTATGCTAGTAAATACAGTAGGCCAGGGTTTGTGCTGCTTACCAAGGATTAATCTCTGGTCCCGTGGCCAACTGGCATGGCATAGCTCATGTACACACAGTTACGTTGTTTCCCCTAAAGAAAAAGTGGCCATATACAAATAGTCGATTGCGTGTGATCTGTGGCCTGTGCTCATCCTCGGAGGTGTAGGCTTTCTTTCGAGTATTGCTAGCTGATTTGGGCTAAAACTGATATTGCTCCAAAGAGTAGGGAAAACCTCAAACCGGTGTTCAGGACTGTGCCCTGATCCTGCATAGTTCATTAGTCAATGCATTAATATCATGCATATTAGACAGTCTCATAATTTTTACCCTCTGTATTCAACTTTCTGAACATACAGACCTACCTGACAGTTTCATTTCGGCTTAGGTGTGACCTATGCCTCAACAGTTTAAATACAGTCAATTATTGACTTGACCTTCACTTGTAATTTAATCACTTTGGGTAAAACCATTAAGTGCCAAGGGTATCTGAAGGTATTTTGAATGAGACCTTTAGAATGATCTCCTTTATGTTCTTTATGGGCAATAGATGTTTCATGCTGTTGAAGTGAGTCCACCATGGTTTACTTACCAATGTTTCCTATTCTTTTTCCCTTTGTTGTTTTGTTATATGTACTAGTTGGCTGGTGGTATGGCTGTATATAAGTATCAGAGTATTAAAAAAAATGATTTTTTCACTATTGTATACAATATGCCCGGTATATAGAGACAGCAGTGATGTAAATTGCTAATGGAAGGGCATAATTTTTCAAAGGAAGGCATGTCTTTGAAAATATGTCTGTACCTACATCATTAATGCATGGGCTGACCGAATAAGTATTTTGTGTATTGTCAGCCATTCATATGGCTATATATTTGTGCACATAAGTACTATTTGTACAAATAAATTCACAGTTAATACCTCAGAGTTGAAAAGCACTCCTATGTGATCAGAAAGATTCAAGTCAGTAGCTGCGACGGTTTGTAAATTATATTCGTTACTAAAGAAAGAACACTATAAATGTACTGCACTGATGTAAGCACTTTAGGTTTTTGAATGTGCTATTGGCAAAATTTCTTCCCCTTTTGCTTCACTAGAGATTTCTACCTATGAGATCGATCACACCAGCTCCTGGCACATATAATGACCCACACACGGCTCTTGAGTCCTTGAACAAAACATCAGGAATGAAAAGGATTCCGTTTGGTCAAACTGCTGTTCGCTTTACTCAAGACTCCAGGCTAGAAAAAACACCAGGTTTGCAATTAATCCAAATATTGCTGATATCCCGACTACATAACCTAATATTGGTAAGCTAGATATTGTGGGACATGAGCAATTAATCATGTAATGGAAAATACAGTAAATGTGAAATTAATTTTGAAATGAAGGTACTCTGAGAATTAAAGAAAATACGCATATGAAAGGCAATGTTATTTATACTAGATTTTGACCAAGGGCTTGCAAATGTGGTTTCTAACTCACCAATTTTGGGGGGTTTCTAGGAAAGGTCAACACACATTATCTATGATAAATGCAGACTAATTTATAATAGTATGGTTTGTTTACTTCATTTATAGGATTCCTTCCTAAGGAGAAAGCAATATGAATGGCATCTGTGCATGCTGGTTTCCCCCCTTTCCTCACCCCTCCCCCTCCATTTTGGGCTAATATTAAGTAAGGCTCTTTCTTCAAAATGCAAACTCTGTAGTTAACTATCAACAGAACAGCAAAGATGCATTCTTTTTATGGAAAGCATGATTTTGCGGAGGTCAATATATACTCTATTAATTGTGTTTTCATCCTGTTGGCAAGATTATATCTCACACCAGTTTAGCAGTGATACGTATCTTAATTTATTATCCTCACTATAGTGCTTTAGGTAAGGTAGACATACACTGATCTTCTTCTAGAGGTTGTTCAAGGTAAATCGTACCTAATGTAAAATGATTTTGTGTCTCTGTGGCTTTCCTTCAGATATTCTCATTCATGCCTTTTAGATAGATGTTCTGTGAGAAGAATGTAGTGAAGACCTTAGCACTACACTGATTATCACCTGGCAAATATATATATTCAGGTGTATATATAAAGAATAGAAACATCCTGAAATTACACCTATACTTAGCATTTCAATTTATTTGAATAGCTAAATAATATTACCTTTATTATCCATAAGCAACAGCTGTACTCTAGTTGGGGGTGTATTACACAGTTTGGTATTTTGTCTGTAGACATTGGTCTACTTTGTATGTCTGCAGTTTGAATGTGTTAATGGAAGAGCAAGTGGTAGAATGTATCTCTAATAGGCATGGTTATCTAAAGCTAATGGTAACTGATGCCATACCAGTTCTTTTCAGTCATCTGATATGACCGAGCACTTTGAACAGAGACTTTGTGTCCTCTGTAGCTTTTTTGTGTTTTCTTGTTTGTTTTGTCCTCAGGTGCTTGCACATCACGCCAATGACCTGCAACTCAGTGGTTTCTGTGAAGCTTACTTTTTGGCTCTGCTTGACATATGTAATAGTTGTGTTTTATTCACTGACTTGCAGGCCAGTTGTCTATGCCATCTAGGTGAGGGATGTGTACTCCACTGCTCTTTCATCAGCCAGTCACTTAAGTCCTGCGCTGAGAAGAGGGAGATATTTGGAAATACCACAGTATCATCCCCAGATCTCATCACTCACCAGTTTCAGACCATGAACAGTCAGAATGTGAGGCATTGCCCTTGGCACTGAAAATGTAAAAGGTGCTAAACTGCATGAACAAGCCGTTACCTCAAGAGACTGGTCAGCTTTTTAGGTGTGTGTTTTTTTTTTTTATTTTTCCACTTTGTGGTGCTGGTTCTGAGACTTGGTTGCTAATAGTAATTACTGAGACTCAAGAGACCACATATTTAAGTTTTTGACATAAAATCCCTTGTCCGATTTTTCTGAATAACGTCAAAGACAAATTTAGAAGGTGGTACTGATTCTTTCTATTTTTATCAGCACTGCTTAGGATATAGTTTGAACCCCTCTCTCCTTTACCATAGACAGACATTAAATTTGAAATAGTTTTTAAGCTCAGCTGTCAACTTCATACTAGCAATCCCTTAAAGTATACCTGGAAGCCATATGCTTAGCCTCTTCCACTGAGCATAGATGTATATCATATTAGATGTTTCAATTCTCAACACTGTCATTAGAGATTACCCAGTACAATTTGCCTCCTTGCTATCCTGTCTAAATCTTTTATTAGATTCCTCTCATATAAGCCCACTTCAACGCAAAGAAAAATCTCCATTGTTATTCAAGTTTGTACAGACGTTTCCCCTCTACTAATGAGGAATGGGGAAGTTTACACAACAATTATCTTTTTCAGACCATAATGAAAGAAAGAGGGGCTACCCATGGACTTGGGCCCACGATGTTTTAGTGTAACTATGAATTCAGTGACAAAAAACCCCTTTTAATCTTCAGACAGATTTCAGGCAATGAAAGACCCGATTCAGCACTTATGATCATTATATCCCCATGATGAAGTCTTTCATGTCTATTAGACATGGTAGTAAGATGATTATGATGCCTTGTTAAAGGCTTACAAGATTGTCTTCAGATCTGTTACTGAGAAAAATTCCCTCACCTTCTAAGTAGTGAATCACCTGCTTGGTAGAAAGTTGCATTTGTTATCTACAGATAAATTATTTTTCATTTCCTCTGCTATCTAAATTTCAGACAGAATATGGAACTGTTCAATGGTGCATATTGCATAGATTTTGGGAATATAACTGTAATCATTATACAGATAGAAAGTTTTCAGCCAACCAGCATCTATGCTGAGAATATTCCATTAAAATAAAATGACGGAATGCCTTTGAAGGTGTATTAGTAGTTATACTATTAGGAAGTTATAAAAAGATGAAAACTGTGTTTCAGGCTGACAAAAGTGTTTTGACCTTTTTCAGGCCCTGCATTCTATAACATTCTTAACCATAGTGTTGAAAACAAAAGTTTAAAAAAAATATACTTGGCCTGTATAAAGAGAATAGCTTTTGGATCTTCAACTCCTCGATGTTTACCTCTTTGTAAAAAAGAAGAATTTTGTACTCCTGGCCCTGGTGATTATCAGGTAACTTAAAACAAAAAACTTTCAAAAGAAAGTAAAGAAAGGTTTAAAAAAAAAAAAAAAGAAACCTGAGAATTTTGAAAGTTATACTGGTATTTTTCTAAAGTTGTGCATGCCTAATTAGTACTAAGTTTTGAGGAATTGTTTACATCTTGTGAAAAAGAGAGGTAACCATTGAAGAGAGAGTGACATACTGAGTATGCCTGAATAAACATGTCTAAATTTTTCTTTATTTTTCTAGAATTGTTTGCTGTGCTTTTGTAGAATTTACAAGCTTAAATTAAAAAAAAAAAAACTTTTGACATATTTTGTCATGCAAAGCAGAGCATTTTTTAATTACAATGATAATTTCCTCTTTTCTGAGCAATTACAATTAAAAAGACAATGTATGATTTGGGAAAGTATTGCAACTATTAGGAACAAATTGAAAAAAATTAGTGAAATTGGTGCATTAGTTTAACCAGTTCTTTTTAGAATAACAAGTTCTGAGATAGCTTGCTTTCTTTAGTTTTCATTGTGTTGTCTTCCCGCTATTTGTCACAGCTTCCCTATCTGTACTTCAAAATAACAAGCCCTTTAAAAATATTTTTCACTACTTGCTCAATGTATCAGAGTTTCATGACTTACTGCAACCTGTTTTTTCCTAAATCATCATCTACTGGAGGGAAACATTTAAGATTAATGTTGCATTTATGCAATCACAAGCATTTATGATTAATTCCAAGCATTGCAAAATTCCACTGATATAGATCCATTTTCATATGCTTTTTGAATCACAGTTCAAAGCCAAATATATGATATGATTATATTCTCACATAAATAACCTGTCTTTTTTGGAAAATATATAAACTTAAGTAGTTAGTCCTTGTGCCCTAACATCTCACTGACAGCAGTGAGAATAAGGATCGATCGTCATTGCTGTTATTTGAATACTTAAATCTGTTTTGATTTGAGCATCAAGTGAAAAGATAATTTCACATGCTAACAAAAATATCACAGTTAGGAGTAGAAAGTGGCCAAATCAGAAAGACAAAATAAAGATCACAGCATTTAGATAATGTGATCAATTTAAAGGCTATGGAAATTCTTTTCACCTCAGTAATTACATATTACAGGACCATCTGAGAATCCTCATAAAAGGAGAAAGGATGCTTTTTGCCAAATAGGTTAGGTGTCAGGATATATTTTTTTCAGCATTGCAAAAATGGATATAAGAGTATTCCCCCAGGTGTTAATCAGACAAACTAGACTGCTCATATATATTATCATTAAAATTAATTCTAAATATATTTAGAGATGACCCTTGTATAATCAAGGGTAGAGCAGTGCATTGAAGATATTTTGTGTTGCCGTATAATATAAAAACAGTTACTAGCAAAGATGGATTTCTCTCTTCATTTTGAAAAGTACTTACATAGGTTTGCATGACAACAGAGCATATACATTTAACTAATGTGCACGTACACATAAATATGAGATTGTACTGACTGATTAAAATAGACAAGATATTCTGATAGTTATCTGCATAAGCTTTAACATAAAAATCTCCTTAAGCTAAAAACATGCTTACAAAATTAAAAAGAATAAAACATCTGCAGCTGACACTTCAAAATTTCAATTTTGGAAAATATTATTCATTATCAAAATGTGAAAGATATTTTAAATCTTTAAATTTTTAAAATATTTTTAAATATTTTTAATTTTTAATATATTTTTAAAAATGTTTTTAAATACTTTTCACATGAAGCAATCCCAGGATTAGTGTTTCTCCTTCTTTCCTTTCTTCATTGAAATCTTTATATAGAAAGTTCTTGGAAGGCAAAAAAATGTTACAAGTAGAAGAATGTGCATGAGGGAAGATGCATGCTTCTGAATCAATTCCACCTTTCCCCACAGTGATTGTATATCTGTGGCTGGGTCAGAACCCACAGGAGTACTTTCTGTTTGTTCTGCTGCCATCACGGGTTCTAGTTTTTGGGAAGAACTTACGAGTTTGTAGACTCATGAATCTATCCAATTGCTCTCCTGATTCCAAGGCTTCTTTTTGTGCTGTATTTCTTTTGGTGCTTAGGATCAACTTTGTATATCATGTGCCAATTCATGTGACAAGTTCTATACATGTGGCATTGATCATTAGAAGTCCTGCAGTATTAATATTGTGTTGTATGCCTAAAGGTAGACAAAGGTGCCTTAAGACCCTGATTCAGGCAATCATCCCAATTCGCTTAAGCTCATAATCACATGCCATTGAAGTTGAGAAAATTTAAGGATGCACGTACAGTTTAGTCTCCACCTGCTCATTCCCTTCAATTATGGTGAAATATTGGCGTCTCAGTGAACACATCTTCATCTGTTTTCCTTTTTTAAGTTTAAAGCCCAATGATGGAAATGCAATAATGATGCAAATTACAGCTTAAGGATGTCCTTCCTTGAATTAGATGCTGACAACTTTTAAGAGGAAACTCTGAAATCAAATATATTTCTGATGTTAGATCAGGTTGAAATATCGTTTGAGTGCATATTTTAAAAGACTTATATTGCATCTATTGCCGTTCTTTATGCATGTATACATATTATAACTTGAAATAAATGTTTTCTCTTTTCTCTGACAGAAATTCAAATAAGTTATTTTGGTATTGTTCGTATAATATTAAATAAATGTAACAAGCTACAAATGCTAAAATGAAATTTGGATTTTTTGACTTCAGTATTTTAGACTTTTTTCTTTCAGATTCTTGTAGGCATTTGCTTTTGCAACTTGCTAATCATGTAAAATATGCTTTATAAAATATGGGACTTGAGAAATATGTCTAAACTTATATGAAATCAATTAATATAATTTGTGTTCTTCATTTTATAGCTTATGTTTCTTCATAATGTAAAACTTGCCTGACAGAGAATATTTGAAGCTGACAGTATTCAGTGAAATTGGCTTTAGATTAGTAGTTTTAATGTCAACACAATTAATATGGATTAAAACTATAAATGACAATTTTAAGTGACAAGATTTTTTGAGGGAGAAGACTAACGTTTTTATGTTCTAGAATTTTCAGGTTAAAAAAAGTACTACAAAACCGCATAAAAAGCAGAAACCATTATTTTACTACTTAACAAGAGAAAAAAGACCAGCAGTTGCTATGGTAAGAAAACGTCCCAGGTTACTGTAATTTCTCTATTGTTTTTAAGTTACTGAATGAAAAAGGGCTGGTGGGGCTGAATTCTTGGCCATCTTAGCTTAGCTTAGCTGCACTAAACAATTACCCTTAAAGAAACTTCTAGGTTGATTTTCTATGTTGTCTACACAAATATCTGTTGGAGTAGCTTGTTGCAGAATGCATGAAACTGCAATGTAATGTTTTAATATTTTCTTTTCTATTTCTTGGTAATATTATTTGTATTTTTTATCACTGTTGCGCACAGATCAGGTTTTTAAACAGTGTGATCGTAAGTTCCTTTTCCTAACGGTTATAGTTAATTTAGAATGCAGCCTTGTACTTGTGTAGTTGCACCTTCTTGCACGTCATTGCATTAACTAAGAGTTCATTCTGCAGCCTTTTCATCTGCCTCAGTTCAGTCTCTGTAGATCTCATTATCATCCTCTCAATTTCAAAAAATTATAATTATTTCTAACAGTTGCAATTTTTTCTCCTGTTCTAAATGATTAAAATACATTAAACATCTTTATATTCCTAATTACATCCTACATTAGTAGCCTTTTTTTCCCTTTTGTTATTTTTTTTTAACCTGCTAATCAGAGATTTAAAAGACTTTTTGCCACTTGGCTATCACATCCCATTTCCCCTGCCTCCTCTTGCCTCTTGGTACTTCGAGCCCCAATGCCTGGGTGCCTACGGTGGTGACAGCAGCAGCCAGTGGAGCTGAGAGGCCTCTATTTGCAACTCCTGTCACCCTATTCTTGCAGGACTTTGCCAGGAATTTATCTTTCATCACCAAATTCTTCTTTATCTGTATTCTTCCTTCTTTTCTTGAAGTGTTACGGTAGGTTAAAATTCCAGGAAACTATATTGTGTTGTCTCTATTGTTTTACATTTTTTAAAAATATGTTTTTAGAAAGAATTAATTGGTATGTTAAATTGGTTTATCTATCAGCATGGTAAAGTCTATTCTAATTTCCTGGTTTACTTCTAGCACTATTTAAAAAAAAAAAAACATGTAAGGAAAGTGCTGTATGTTTTAGCATCTCAATTTTTATAAAATTTTTGAATAGACATAAGCTGTTTCTTGTGAGTTCTATTACTCGTTTGTTAGTTTGTTGTGGAGTGGTTTTTCTCCTGTAACTGAGACCTATAAATCCAACATACAATTGGGTATCTACTTCTGATACTAATTTTTCTTATTTTGTAAGTTTGTTCTGTAGACTGTCTTTGCCTTGCACATTTTCATTTTACTGTTTTGCTAACATGCTGTATGCTGTTTTCTGTTTTTCTTGTAATGGCTTTCTGTTTACCTGAGCATTGACTCAGGTGACCCGTTTGTACTTAACGGTCAGAACGGGGAGTTTTGTTGTCTGCTGGAGCGCTGCTTTTGCTTGCAGTTGCATGTTTCTTTTGTAAGTCGGTTACAGTATGTTTAAGTACCATCCATTGTACTATTATTGATTTTAATATCTGCAGAATTTAGATCACCTTGACTAAATGGCCTTATAAGGATATACTGTTCAAAAATATGCATTTGAGCTGCAATGTTTGAATGATTTGAAGTTCTTGTAGAAGGGTATGTAATTTTGCAGACGTGTATTTAGAGTATGACAAAGGAGAATGCCTGCAGAAATTGTCTTTGAAAGAAGATAACAAGTAGTACACATGAATATCGCAGTGCCACTTTTAACAACAATTTTCTTTGGGTTAGAGCTGCATTATAAAGCACTAGAAAGCATTTAAAATGTTCAACATTTTTTCTGGAGAATTATTTTCATAACTGCTGTATATTGAATGGTGTGAAGTCAGAGAAGAAAACAATGGTTTAGTAAGTTTGGGTAACTGGGATTCTACTAGCAGTGTCACAAATTCTCTTTTTATTTACAGTGACAATGTATACATCTCCATTGAAATTAGTGTTAATGTAGCATGCTGCTTGGCCTCATTGCCCTGCTGAAAACCTTTTTCCCATGAGGAGCAGATACCCTTCTAAGAAACCTATGGGAAAGAGGAGTTGTCCCTGACGATATGACTGAGGAGATAACCCCAGGAAATTAATCTTCCGTATCTACTCAGAAATTAAGATGAAACCACAGAGGTAAAACAGGAGAAATAAGGAAGAATGGCTTGATTCTTTCATCTACAGAATCATGTCCATTACTGGAAAAGATAGCAGTAGCATTTTTCCCTGCCTGTTTGCAGTGACTTTGAAAACTCCCTACTGTCTCCTCTTGAATTGCCTAGAAATGGGATATTGAGTGGGATAAGAATTGGGATAAGAAATGGGATAAGAATTTTGGCAAGAAAAAGGCTTAGACTTTTTACATCTATGCCTTTGATTAATGAATCACTATCCGGAACATTTCAGAGAACCTCACAATTTTTCCTCTTTCCTGTAAGTCGATAGGAAAGAAGTAGCCAGGGTGCCAGCAAAGACCTTGCCCTACTTCTATTTTTAAACAAAGTTGGTTCTTTTTGTCACTTCTTCTTTTCAAAAAGAAATCTGAAGGCCTTGGCTAAAGATAAATATCCAAAAAAGTCTTCCTCCTTGGAATCAAAGACAGGCTAAGGAGCTCTGCTGCAGTTTCTGATAGAAAACTGATGGCTTTTTAGTTGATAAATTCCTTGAAAATCACACTGGGGCAAATGTCATTGGAAAACTTACAGCTGTAGATGTCTAAATATAAGTTAGTGGTCTAGACTCTCTTTACAGTTAGTGAAATTACAGCCCATGATATCAGTCTTCTGTCTGTATCAGAAGCTTCTGAATATTCCAAGAATGAAGTTACTGCAATCATTTTATGCTTCTTAATAATCTCTTATTAATCTCTTAATAATCCAGGAAGAAGTCCTGGATAACCAATATCAATAGGCAGAGAGGGTAGATTCCAAGTTGGGAGGAGTTAGTAGAAGCAATTGATACATCTGAAGAAAAAAGTTTTGGAGATTTGGATGAGTTGTGCATATGTAAGTCATGGGAGATTCTCAAGCTGTTGAGGAAGACTTTATGGGCCTGGTTCTTTGGGGCCCAACAGCTATTCTCCTGAGAGGAATGGGAAGCCGTACAGCAGGCCAGATTAGTCTGTTTGGGAGAAATGGAAGTTTTTGCATGTCTCAGCTGTCTGTTATGTTGTCTGGAACAACATTTTGTTTTGGATAGTTATTGCAAGCTAATTAGTCCAATTATTCTAATAAGCAGCAGTACTGGAATACTTGGTCAGCAAATAAAGATAGCTCTGGTAATTTGAATCAAATACAGGCTGCAGTTAGAGCTAAATGCAGGCTCTACCCCTAGCCTTGTTCATATATTTTTCTCAAAATATGTCAATTCTTAGAGTTTATTAATTGTGAAAACTGTATTTATAAGCAAACAATTTCCAGCAAGGAAACAGATTTCTACTTTGAGCTCTTAATTGTTAATGTAAAACTGGAAAACAAAATCACTTTTAGAACTATGAAAAGTATCTTGGCCTTTTTGAAAAGTATATATGTTCTGAATAAACCAATAGATAAGCATTTTTCTCTCAGTTCTAGATGTTGTGTATCTGTGTGCTAACCAACTAACTGAAAGAAGGTTGGCTTCTTTTTTAGCTGATCTTGGATATTAGAATTTCGGTATACTCATTTGTTAATTGAAAAGTGTGTTATTTTACTGCATGAGAAAAAAAAATACTTTTCCTTATCTTATATTTTCATATTTTATATTCATATTTTCATGATTTTAAAGTTCTATTTGTATGCCAATTCTACTATTTCTCCCCCCTGCCACCCTAAACTCTAACAGATAGCCATTTCTAATATCTGAGAGGCATTTGTGTTTATGTTTAAATTATGAGCAGAGGCTTGAAAATTAAGTGTCTTGTCATATGCAGTGGATCGTTATGTTGCTCCTACTGCTGTCTCCTACTACACTAGATCTGACTAAATAAGTTTAATAATGTAGTCAGTATTAATGAATAACATCACCTTTACAAAAACAAGTCCAGTATCTATAAATAAACTGCTATAGTAATAACAGTTTAAGATAAATATTCATTTTAGTACACCTTATTGATAAATTAATGTTTATCATATCATTTCATGGAGAAACAGTTACTTAAGAAAGGATGAGCAATAAATTTCAGGACATTATTTCACCCTGTCATTATTAGTATGTGCATAGAAAATGAAGTTAATTTAAAAAAAAATTTTGAATTCTGTTCTTTCGAAGGGTTAGTGGAGCAAATAATGCCAAATATAATTAAAATAACATAATGCAGAATTGTTTTGTGATATATCCAAATGCTCTTTAAATCTATTTTTTGTTTAGTAAAATCACTGATTTCAAACATGAGCCTTCCTTTTTTTTTGTAGAAAACAACAAATAGGCATATGTTCAAATGATGTCCTATGTTTCGTCTGCATAAATTATGAGAATATAGTATTTAAAAAAATCTATATACTGATGGCCTTTGAGCATGTCACTTGCTGTTCATTTTTCAGTGTATATGTAGGGATGAGTGTTATAACAGCTAAGGGGTTTGTGCTGCAGGGCTTTCAGTTGGCAAATAGCATTTGCATTGTAGTAGTTATGCTAGTCTAAGATCTACATGAGGCCCTACCTGTAGGAAGAGGAAAATTATTTTAGTTAGATCAACAGATACAGTGAATGTATGTGTGTGGAATTATGCGAGGGGTGGAACACAAGCTTTTGGGAACTTGGGCTCTTCTTCAGCTGAATATGTAATGAAGTATTTTTCTAGGAAAGCCTCATTAAGGGGAAGGCTTGTGTACCGGAAAACTCATCTTATTTATCTAGTTTAAATGAATTACTGTAGTAAATAATGAGCTCTTACAAATTTTGTGGCCCCAGTACAGAATGCTAAGCCCATTGGTGCACATCCCATTGAATTGAATAGGATTACTCATAAAGTTAGGCACATTGTAGTGCTCTTTTGGATAGCGCTTCAGAGTCTACATCTTTTTCTGTGCCAAAACTTTACTTTTGAGTTTCATCAGTTGCTAATTTTTCATGAGTTACTTTAACTTCTGAAACTTGAGTCACATCCTCCATTCCTGGATGTGCTATGGGCATACTTACAGCCACTAGCATGCAGTTAGATAATTATAATCTAATTTGTAACTGAAAGTGATTTGCAGAAAGAGAATAGTTGTGTGAGTCTTTTTAATGCATCTAGCAGCTCCATACATGTCTGTCTATGAAAATATGTATGTCTGTTTTGGAGCTATTTACAAGGGACAGTTCTCTTCAAAATGTTTTTAGCAATAAATAAATAAAAAATTAATTCAGTTAAAGTCTACCATGGATAAGAAGAAAGTTTCTGTTAAATATGAACTGAAAGATAAACTGAAGTTAGCAAGTTTAATCCACTAGTATGCTGTAATCATGTAAACTGCTGGTAGACTGCCATTAAACTATTAATATGCAATACTGCTGAAGAGGACTTAATTACATCTAATATTTCATGGCAACTAATTCCCCAGTGTGTTACTTTTAGAGAAGAAAAGACTCCTTGCTGGTTTGGCCCTTTACCTAATCTTTCAATTTCTATGCCTCTGAAATGTACTGAGATTCCCGCTCAGATTAAAAAACAGAATAGTGAAATAAAGTGTTCAGTAAACGTTAAAACATTTAAATCCATAAAGTCATTTTTGTTTCAGTTAAGCAAATGCAAAGTACAAAGATATGTAATAGTCCAAAGATACACATTTAAAACTTTTGTGTTTCATAGGTAGTTGATGCTTTAGGAAACACTCGTGCTCTTGGGAGATAAGGAACGTGCCTTTCGTTTATCTTTTACACTCGGTATCCTCCAAGATTCTTCTTCTGTAAAACAGAACACTTGAAAAAAATCAAAACTCAAAAAACTCCTCTGTCCTTCATATCTTAAAACTGCAGGCAAAAAGAGAGAAGGGGGTTTAGTAATGACTTTCGGTATATGTTGTAGATATTAAATGTTAAAAACGCTTATAAGGCATTATACCTTATCTAAAACTGTTTTTTATTTCTTTACTTTTAGAAGGCGCTATAAACTGAACAATTAAGTGTTTTATACTGTCGATTCCTTAAAATTGAATCTCCTGCAATGTATTATTTGCATGTAACCTGTTTTGATAACATACGATTTTATCTTTTCATCAACGCTGAAAACTTTAACTTTGTCCTCAATTATTCAAATGTGACATCTCTCATTGCTGTATGTCTGCCTTCAGGGAACTGTGTAAATAAACGGTTGAGGAAGGTAACTATGAGGACTATCACTGTCAAACGTGCATCAGTCCTAATAAAGCTTTCATAGCGCTCAGAACTGTTCCAGAGATAGCCACCTAGAAATCCACATAATTTAAAAAAGCAGATCCCAACTGCTTAGAAATGTTTTGAAGCTTTACATACTATTTCTGAGCAATCCTCTGGGAAGATCTGTTTAGCATTCTAAAATCAGTTGTCATTTTTCACCCTGTTGACTTTCTCATAAATACTTTAGTTAAGAGAGCTAACAAGGTTAATTAAGTTATGACAATATGTGATGTAACAAAGCTAATTCATACTTGAAAATATCAGCTGTTTTTAGGTAGTGGAAAAATAAAATTCTAGATATCACTTTATGGAGCTCATCAGAAACAGGGCAGTGGCTAGCTGATAAAACTGATAGTTATGGGTAAAGAGAGAAATGGGTTTTAAAGGAGGAGAAGAGAATGATCTGTGGTTAGGAAGTGAAAAAATATTCTAGACATGTGGAACACTGTAGTAAAAGTTCTAACACACCATAATAAAAGATTATTAGAACAATAGGGGGAAAACCAATGATATTTAGGGTGACAGGGATGGAATAGGACTAGAGAAAAAGAAATGAAATGAAGGCAGGAACAAATTTGAAATAGATTTAGTGAAAGATGAGAAGGAAGGAAGTGATAGGAAAACAAGTTTCGCAAAAAGTTGCATGATTTTAGCAGCAGTATTTTCACTGGATTGGATAACTGGTAATATATTATAGGAAGAATAAACGGCAGAAAATACAGTGTGGCAGTATTGAAGTAGGATGTAGTTCTGTAATGAACAATAGTGAAAAAGTAAGTACTGGAAATCACTGAAAGATCAGATGTATGAGGGACAAGGTGTCAAAGATCATGTTTAATCCTGAATCTGGAAGAAGGATATTGTAGGAGTGGGGCTGATGATGATAGAGAACATAGGTAGGATGTAAAAGATTGTCTGAATTTTTTTTAATTTTGAATTTCATCTTTGTTACTAATGGACAAAGAAAATTCCAAGTGCATATCTGAAACCTGAAAACAGGATTTAAGTGATTAATGAA